TGCCTAATAATTATGCACAGTAATAGTCACCTGCACACACAGATATCCCCCTAAAATAGCTAAAACTAAAAACAAACTAAAAACTACTTCCAACAACATTCAGCTTTGATATTAACGAGTTTTTTGGGTTCACTGAGAACATGGTTGTTGTTCAATAATAAAATTATTCCTCAAAAATACAACTTGCCTAATAATTCTGCACTCCCTGTAGTGGAACTATTCATTGCTGAGTTCATGTTTCAATCTTTAATTTCTGTTTTAGAGGAGTTTATGGGTTTTTTGGAGGTGCGGTCCTAAACTTTTGATCAGCTGTAAAACAGTCTGTTTCTGTTGTTTTCAATAAATTACACGCTCAAAAAATGTTTTGTCTCACTCCCATTTCTTTTTGTTGCATGTTGAAGCTCTACTTGGAACCTTCTTAGGATCCAATCATGCAAAATTTGAGTTTTTGCCATTTTTCAAGTGGACTTAAACTTATTTTTCAAGTGGACTTTTGATCGGGACTGTATAAATCTTTACTACCATTTCAACTTGGTTGTCAGCACCGGAATAATCAGTGCCAAGAGTAGAAATAACACTTGATTTTGTGTGGTTCATTCATTTGTCTAATATATTTTTGATTAATTTGTTGGTGATTGTAGAAGAGGTCTATCAATACAAGAAAACTTGTATGATTTCAGTCAGTATTTAAATAATTTTTAATGGAGTTTACTGGGGTTATAGTGACTTTATTCATTTATATAAAAAAAATAACATTTTGCCACTGAACTTGGACTTAGAGAAAATACTTTCACACTGGCATTGAGGAGACAGAGGTGCAGCAAGCATGTGTAGGCCTTGCTTATAGATAAAAATAAGCAGAGTTTTATCCAAACATCAAACATTTTTGTGAATTTAAAAACAAAGGATAATATCTGAAGTCCTTTGTGTTTAGAAAAACTCAAGTGTTTCACAATAAAACAATAAAGAAAAGCATGGCAACAATTAGGATTGTAACATGCATATAATGTCTCAATATGTAAAATTTTCATTAAATCTTTGGTGGTCCCATAAGGCTTGTAGAGTTTCAGTTTATTCATCGTTGTGTTTGCCCGACATGACATCAGCGAGGCACTGCCTGCATCCTGAACTCCTCAGGGGAATTGTTGAAACCCAACACACCCTCCAAGCTCGGCATTTTTCCAGGAACAGGTCTGAAGGTGAAGCGTTGGAGCAGAAATGCAAAGAAAAGGAAGAGCTCCATTTTGGCCAGGGGCTCACCGATACACACACGTTTACCTGTGGGAAACAGAAGTTTTTATCCTGCTAATCCTTGATCTCAAATGTACTCTCAATGGAAACCTAATTACACGCTATAAAATTACCGTACCTGCTAAAAATGGCAAGAAGGCATCTCTTTTTTGAAATTTGCCCTCTGAGTCCAAGAAATGTTCAGGGTTGAAGACATCTGGAGTCTCCCACTCATTCTTATCAAACAGCACAGATGAAAGTATTGTGGTAATAGCTGTGCCCTGAAATAGTGTTATTAGATGTTGTTATTAGCTATTTATAAATAATTGACACACTTATGAATTGAATTTCTGACTCAGTCTGGTAAATAATCCCTTACCTTAGGAATGAAGTATCCTCCCAGTGTAGAATCTTTACTGGCCATTTTTGGTAATCCCAGTGGAACAATATTTCCAACCCTCTGGGTCTCGTGGATAACAGCATCAGTGTACGGCAGTTTGGGCCTATCGGTCAAGGTGGGCAGGCGAGACTGTCCAACTACTCTGTCTATCTCAGCCTGCACTTTTTCTGAAAGGGGAAACAGTAACGACTAAAACTCATCACAATATGCCATATTATTAACTGAAGTAAAAGTGGTCCCAAATATTAAAAACAAATGTCAGCAGCAGGTTTGCTATAACAACAATTACCGATGCAGTATTTATATTTAATTGGTGTTGTGTGAAAATGAGGCTCTGAACCAACGATGTCTAATTTTTTTTGGGGGGGGGGGAATGCCTCGATGCCCCTCCGGTCTACACCTCCTTCACTTTCATCTTTGGAGACTACACAAGGAGAGTAGTTGGGAAATTGAAGGTGAATTGATTAATAAGGGACTAACCCTGTATTTCTGGGTAGTTGATCATAAATACTAGAGCCCAGCGTAGAGTGGTGGAAGATGTCTCTGTCCCAGCCTCAATCAGGTCAAGGGTACAAGCCAGAAGTGTTTCAGCATTAAAGCCAGCACGGGGATCCTCTTTTTTCTAATGTGACAGAAAAATACAGACATTATCGACAGTACTGGGCTCATTTAGCTAATTTACATTATTACCAGTTAATCTCATGATCATAAGGATTGTGATTTTTGATTAATGGATTCATTTGGGTGGCTGAAGTCTCAGAAACTTTTAAAAGACTTCTTTTGAATGCCAATAGGGATCTGCTAGTGGCCAGCAATGACATGAACATGATGAATTGTTATGGTTTACATGAACATATGCCCCCTTGGCTATTGTTGCTTTTTTGTTTTTGTTTTTTTAATAAAGTGAACATAACAGGATTCATTTTTGTGTTACCTTCTCCATCTCTGACAGATATGCATCAATGAAATCACGAGGGTCATCTGGGTTCCACTCTTCCTGGTGCTTTTCAATTTCTCTGTTCAAGAAAGCCACAATCTCCCTGTAGTTGGCATGGACAGTCTGGTGAGGTCCTGGCAGGTACTTCATCAAGCCAGGAAAGGCATCATACAGCTGGTGAGGATGATAAACTCTTAGTAAAAGACCAACAAGAATATCATAAGCGATCATCACATTGTAGTTTAAACAACGAGCACCTGTGCCTGAGCTGAACCAGCAAGCAGAAGGGCATCATTGTCCAGCTCCAGAATTTTGCGAAAGCTCGGATCAGTGTATTCAAAGCGATGTCCAAAGACCACAGAGGAGATGATGTTACCCACTGCATTTGTCATGATGTAGTGGGGGTTGAATGGTCTACCTGGGAAGATGTCAAATTATACTCAAATCAACAGAAATCCTGCTACAAAAATGATTTCAGTGCACAGCAATCCCTTCAGTCATGTGAATTCCTGCAGCCTACTTGCCTTGCTCCTCCTTGAAAGCTTCACAAAGAAAGTTGCACTCCACTTCAATGTACTTCTCCAGTGACTTTTGGCCTTCTCCAAAGTAACGCAGGTGAGTGTTGGCAAACTTCCTCTGCTTCTTCCAAAGATAACCGTTGCTCATAGATATCCCTTGGAGAATATTATATTAAGTTAATAATAAGGAAGCCTTTGCACGGATGTACATTTTGTAGGGGACGGAGTACAGTGTGAGCCAAAACAAAATGAAGTTATCATTAAGGACTATGTGATAGGCAAGGCAAGACCCAATTGCAAGACTTGGAGACAAAAGGGTAAACTAAAAGAGGCAGCTTTATTGCTGTAGCTTATACACTTGAAAATACAAAAAAACTCAGGTGAGAAATAAAACTAGAAACTTAAGGAACTGATGAATTAGGAAACTAATGACATGGAAACATGGAATTCCAGAAGACAGCTAGAGAAGCCGACACCACAGAGAAGAGAGGGAGACGCAGACAGTATGCACACAGGAGGAGATTGGGGTAGAGTGGACACACCTGAAGAACACAGCTGAACAGAATCTGAAGATATGAAAGACTGGTGAGTAAAGGGAACAAAACACAGAGAGATGAACATGGAAACATTAAGGGAGAAAACAAACAGAGAGGACTAAAGAAAGTATTAACTGGACACAAACAGAACAAACGTGAAGAAACCAGAATTGAAGAACTACAGTATAACTAATAAACCCATCCGCACAGGAAACTAACATACTCAGGAACTAGTTCATAATTATCTTATTATGAAATAATAAATAGGTCCAAAATGAAACTCAAAAACTGGGTCCAAGACCCAGGACTGTAACAGCACTAAAAAAGAATTTCATTATATTTTTACATTTGATATGCTTTTTCAGGGTTTGTTTTGAGAATTGGGCCATACAGAGACGTGATATAATGAGGATGTACAGGTATTGATCATTTCTAGTTTGATGACAATCTAATACAGCTTAAGACTTGGGGAAGGAGGTTGGTATAGCAAAAAATATAGGCAATAGCACATGCTTACATGCACGTGTTTTAACAACTCACCTAAGCCCTTTAATACAACATGGAAAAGAGGGATGATTGGTCGATTAACAAAGCTGTCCAGCTGGCTGACAAGAGCCTCTTTGACCATTTTATATCCTGCAACAAACACCATCCTCTCACTGCCCCTCCTCAAACTGAACACGGGGCCGTACTTCTGAGCCAGCTGCATTTAGAAATAAATCGAGAGAAATGTTTCACAGTTGGTATTCCTTTAGAAGTAAAGACTTTTTGTCAGATTAAAAACCCTTCAAGTGGTAGACAATAACATAAACACAGTATTAAAAAGGATCTGAGCTGGAGTTACTAATAACTCACTGAAACTTTTAAATGTTTTTAAAGTTGAAGTCCTGCTATTATCTGTTGTTTTTCCATATGCACATTATATTGGCCAGCGTACTGCGTGTACACCAAATTGCACTGTAAGGATCTTCTCCTCCCCACCTCATGCATTGTTTTGTAGTCTACTCCAGTGAAGACATTTCCTAGCAGAGGCACAGCCCAGGGTCCTGGTGGAAAGTTGCGAGGCCTCCGGTTTCGTATTACATCACTTAAAATTAACAATACAAAACTGAGCAAAAACCAACTAGTAAAATTCATACAATCGAAGAAAGCTTGAAAAATCATGGTTGAAGTATCAGAAATCCCTCTGCAGAGAAGCAGTGCGGCCCAGCAAAGAGTGCTGTGGTATGTTTGCTGTTATCATCAGGCTGCAGAGTGCTCAGGAAAAAGAGGCCCCAAACATGTTACATAACACAAATGGACTCTTGGGAACTGTCGGAAGCTGGAATTTGAACTGTTTCAGCTGAGTGATGACTGTGAGCTTATGTGTTAAATGTTAACATAAATGAGACTATTACAAGGTAAATCAAAGTTTGTTTGTTTGGGTTTTTTCAGAATTTTTTCACATCTGGAAAGTATGATATTTCACAGTTCACAATTATAAGGTGAAAGGTCATCTTGGGGTAGTCAGCTGGTAAAGCAAACAGTTATGAATGCTGGGGTTCTTGTAACTTCATTCATTTGTATTAAGAAATTATATCTTTGCCACTGTCGATTTGTCTTTTTGGAAATAATCTTTTTGGCTTTGGAGAAACCCTTTTCACATTGGCACTGTGGAAGCAGGGCTGCACAAGTGTTCCACAGCAAGCCTGAATAGCTCAACACTCAAAATTCAGACATCATCACTGACACCATTCGCCCTAAAAAAAAACCAGCCTCTATACCCTTGATAAGAAAACAACCTAGGGTTCTTGACATATGCTGCAAAGCCTCAGCACAGAGTTAACCATCACTAGTTCGAGGTTGCAATGAAAGACCAAATTGGCAGATGTTGCCAATTAGCCATGGGTTTTAGTTTCCTTGGCACAGGACTTGCCTGACCCTCTGCAGGTACTTGGTGGTTGCTGCCTTTCTAGCGGCCTCTTCATGGTTCCTTCATG